TGCCCTGGCACAACACTGTTGCACGAACCTGGCCAAACGACTACAACATCATGCAATATCCACAAATGTTGCATGAAAAATTTGATCATTTTCAAATTTGAGCCAACAACACCTAACATGTCGCAACATGTCGCAACAAGTCGCAACACGTCGCAGCAGGGTGGCCAAACGCGCGCAATATGTTGCGTTGCGCTCGATAATGTTGCGATATGTTTTGTTGAAATGTTGTGATCGTTTGGCCGGGGCTTTATTGTCTCATTGTTGTAGGTCTCCCTTTTTAACTTCGTAAATATTTTTATCATTTTTCTTACTTGTTTTGTTGCAGTCTAACGTTCGCAACATTTTTAAACTATTTTTTACTGTTAGAAACATGTTTATGCTAAGTTTATATACTCTTTCTCCCACTTGAAAATGACCTCGGAGAGGTCGAAAAGTCGTTACTTCTTATTGTTAGTTTTTATTGCAAAATCGATCTCTAACAAGCCAGTTACTCGTTAAGAATTTCAGACTGTTTTATTTTCGGACCCTTTTTCTGTCCGAAATTAAAATGGTCTGAATTTGTTTTGCAAGTATTGCAGTGCATTCTTCTGACTTGTATTCTTACCCCGTTAGCCTGGTCCGGTATGAAGTAATCAAATGGGATGGCAGCTACAAAATCCACAATAAACCATGTCTTGAGATAATGGATGGCAATTTTCTTCGGCGAGCTCACAACTACCTCAGACTTTTTCTCCACGTACGTAGTCCTAAAATTAATCAGTATGTCGATTATAAACATCAAGTCCACGATTAGATTGACGATCTCTTGCGGTTCGCCCGAGTAGATCTTCTGCCAAACGGACCTCCTTGGTTTCGCTTTGGTGTTGCCTAAGAAAGCCGCCTCATAAGGAATAAGAATTGCCGTGAACAGCACCAGAGCGAGGACGAACCAGTCCCAGGCCACTTTGAACATGGACTCGTGGGGAATCGCACATTTTCCTATCTTGTCAGCGATTTGTGTTCTCGAGGAAGTCTTCGGTTTGTAATCCTTGGTTAGATTACGCATTTGGGATTCAGCGATAAATTCCAGGGCAACAGAAGACATGATCTGGAACAGAGACACGGGTATAAAAATAGTTAATTGAATTTCAATTAATGCTGTCATTTTTATGCGAGGTCAGAAAATCCCATGAATGATCAAGAATTTCTTGAGAATATTTAAGTCGCTGCTTAGAAATTAAATATCGAGAATCGATAGCCAGCAGTTTGCGGAAAATCGAAAATCCTCAGTGATACTTTGCCTAAAAAACACTTTTAGGGGACCATTTTCGATTGTACCATCGCCACCTTTTAATTCTACCTTCCACATTAAGACGGAGGATTTGAAAACGGAGGTTTTACTAGCTCTGAAAACGCATCAAATGTTTTTCGTCCACTCTTCACCAGAGGAATTTAAAAAAAAACGCAACAATCACCGGCCAGTTTGGATTTGTGTTTGAGGAAAACTCGGTGAAGGAAATCACATTATTATCGCGACGACATCGTTTTCGAAAAGCTCCATTTTCAAAATGTTTTCCATCCACATGAAATGAAAAGCCGGCGTTTTCAAGTTCCTACGGTTTGAAGAGCGTATTTTTCGAAAAGCTCCGTTTTCGTGACGGATTACCTGGACGGTAGGCCAAACCCTAGAAATAAAGCTGCGTTTTCAAATTCTCCGACGTAGTGTGAACCCTGCCTTAAAGTTTTCGAGAAAATCACAAAAATAGAAAAGACGTTTTGCCTCATTAATATGGAAATTGGCCAAATTCCACTCCTTGTATTGAAACACTTTGCAATGCTAGTAAGAACAAATATCTCTAAAACAGAGCGCAACTTTTTTACTTTCTACCAGTGGCACTGTGGAAAGTTCTGGGGTTGTTTCAAAGGCTTCAACGTCCTTAAAGAAGCGCCATCTCGAAATTTAACGTTAACGAGCTTCAATGAAAGTTCAAGACCTTATTAGTTTCAGAAGCTTAAAATGCATCTTGGTATGTGCGATGTCAATTTTTAGAAACCCCCTGGGAGCTTTTTATGCACCTGGATGCTTTGATCAAGTTTGAATTATCTAGTATCTGTGAATTACTTAATACGAGTAAAACCTTTGGAAACTACTTTTTAATTAGGTACCTTAGCGGTACGCGTCACTCAAACTTCTCTCTTGCAAAACATACACTGAAGAGAAACGACCAAAGTAAGCCGATCAAATGCCACCTTTTCAGAGAAACGTTCTTATACGAAGTTATGCTTTACCTCCATACAAATGTGGAGGGGAAGAGTTTAAGGTCTTTGTAAATTTAAATTATTAAAATGATTTGTTCATCGAGAAAGGAATAGTAATCAATGCCGAACATGTAGTGAACAGTTATTCAAGAAAAAAAAAGTCCCTATCTTCATCTGGTTAACATGTAACACCTAAATTAGCTCCACATGCCTTTGTTAGGAAATTTATTTTTGACGTGAAACAAAGTTTCCACCATAGCTTAGTAATAATTAATTGCTGGAAGCTGATGTTTCCTCAATTAAATGCGCATACATAAAAATATTTAAACAAAACGTTTCTTCAAGTCACGAGAAGTTTTTGTCTCACTTAAAAGGACGGAATACCAGCTACTGTAGACTATTTGCTAAATATTCTGCCTTAATTTAGCAAATTACCTATTCAAATAAACAGTTTCTTGCTGCCTGTATGCAAATGATGCTAGATTTGGTTTTGACATGTCAAGACAACTAAGCAAAAAGGTGCAAACGTATTGAATTTAAGCCTGCAGTGAAAACAGAAACAGAAATTGCGATCTGATTAAAAGACTTGATGAAAAATGTTTTGCAGTTTCACGACTTAACTGGCCTAGTAATACAAGGTTATATACTTATTATAACTAAATACAACTAGTTCTTTTAGCAAAATATCATAACGTCGACCTTTTTTGAATTGGCTTACCTAACTAGTGCAGACATTCGTAGTCTTCTTCGAAATTTCGCTGACCTGGATGTAAGTTCGCTCCCTCGCGTTTAATGAAGAATTACATGTCAACCCGTGGGTGTTAAATTTACGCGTTCTGTAGACAAGCTGTCAGTTCTCTCTTCCAACCATCTTTCTTTGTGGATAACTTAATTTTAAGGCGTCAAATAGATGGAGAATTCTTTAAAACCAGGTGGAAAAATATGGAGTTTTTTGTTTGGATGTTAGTTCATCAGATGCGATAATTGACTAGACTTCACCTATTCGCACAAATTTCGGTGACTGACTAAATGTTTAATCTCAAAATAATTCCTCCAAATTTTAATAAATGCATTTTACACAAGAACTAAGTTGAACAATCTGAAGCCACCGAAAAATTTTGAAGCTAATTTGGTGCTTTATAAGTTTGCTTATGCAAATAACTCTTCCCTTGAAGGTAATTATTTTTACGTGGGCATAGAAATTTCTCGGCTCGATTTAATAAAAACAAAACAAAATAAAGAAACCATCTGGTCAAAGATTTAAGAAATTGATGGTTTGACTAAAATAACCCAATCGACAGTGAAAATAAATAAACAGATATTCACTAAACTCAGCTGGTTATTTACTGGTTATTTATACAACAACGCCAAGTTTTATAGAAGTAATTGCTCAATTATTTCAAGCTTGTTGTGAAACACGTTCCTTAGTGGGGCTTAAGCGGAGCATGATCAGGTGAGGACTTTTGATTCCCTGCCAATCGTTGCTTTCCATTCATTTCTTGCGGCGTCGACAAAACCTGGATCGGATCGGACCGGATCACGGATCGGATCACGGACCGGATCACGGA